TATAATAATATATATANAGTATATATTATTAGTTATTATATATTTATTTATTCTATATATATATATATATATATATATGAATGTGTATGTATGTATATACGAGTGTGTGTGTGTGTGTATGTGCGCGTGTAGTCGTGCGTGCGTTATTACATGTCATCTTCTTGTCTTATTGATTTTTGCCCGTGATTATTGGTTCTGCAAAGAAGTATGTGTTGTTTGCTTCGCACTCTGTGGAATTGATATATGAAATTCATTAAGTTAACATATACCTAATGAAGAAGATGAACCTTGTGTCTGTACTTCAATCTATTTCATGTAGGCCTTTCAAAAGCAATGTATGCCTTTTTATTTTATTTTTTGCAGTTATTTCATACATGAAACACTTATGTAGTTCCTAGGTTGATCGATTATCGTATCGTGTTATGTTGTTACCTTTACCAATACTCTCTGACCGGATCTATACCGTATTGGTATAAGTTACGATTGCCTTAATAGTCGGTTTGAAGGTTTTCTGGCCTTTAAAAAACGCACACAATCCACATCACAGAAATCCAAAAACAAATCTTCAGATTCAAAGGAAATCTCCTTGCAGCCCATCGTGGATGAAGGCACTGCTGAGGTAAGCAGGTTAGGAACCCTACGCACGCTATCCCGTCCTGCCATCTGGTGTACACACGTTTATATATATATATATATATATATCAATAACAGCGCGAGCACTTACACACTTGGATGTCCACACACGCTATACAGACGCACACATCTACTTTCCCATGCATATCGGGCGTACCCTTGTACTTGGACACATACTTAGTTCTTACATGCGATTTGATTTGTACACAACACTCATGCTTATTTACACGTTCACATGCTTTTGTACATAATATAGTGTATAGGCTACACGTTGTCTATTATTCGACATATAAACAAGCAGGATTCTTGAGTTTTTCTTAGAATCAACCCCTTTTATGGAACCGATATATCTACATATGTAACTTGACATACAAATATGTCTCACTGCTGCAGTCCGAGAAAATCGACAATGGAAGCAAATCACCCAGAACAATATCAGGGAGTTCGGGTTTCTCAATGCGCAACCGCATGTCGATGAAGGTATGGATTAGACACGGCGAAGAGTTGACCTGTAGTATAGGTGTCAAGTCGTGCTGGGACATCCGTGTTGTTCATGTATTTATGCTCGTATATACTAATGATGTAGTTGATTGAGTGTTTGGATTCGCCATCCGAGAATATACACATTCATCAATGATCTTGTATTCGCGCGCGTACAAGCTACCCAAATTTTAATTGACTTACGCCAGAGAGAAAATTGTGCTTTATACAGCGGATATCGGCGACCGATCCCAAGACGGCGAGTGTAAAGGAAATAGAGGAGGAGACAGAGACAACCGAAACAGAATTGGATGATAGGCCGCTCACAGGTGCTGTACAATTCACCTACTTATGGACTTGAGATGTGCAGATGAGTACAATTGCATCTAGTGATTGGAAATGTGTTTGTGTGTGCAAGTACGGGATGTGTGCAACCTGTGTTTCTACAGGTCCATAATGGATTCGGGTGTGTTTATTGGGGAATATGAACATGTGTGCGGATACCAGCAAGCTATAATATATTTACTAGCAATGCATACGTAGGTACGAGTTTGTGCTGTATCTCGAAATCAATATATACCATTGCGAGACTAACGATGTGTTTTCTATAGGATATCACATGTCTTAGAGGAATGGTAAGGATGTATCGTTGCATGCACTACTTTAACAGCTTCAGTTGGAAGGGGAAGGACAATGATATTGTATAGCGAAGAGTTATATATGCGTTTCATGCCGCTGCTGAGCTCACCTATATCTTCGATAATCATAGGATAACCCCATTCATGCAAAAGCCCAGCCCTCCCCCCACCCTTTTGTTTCTGAGATTTCGCAAGCTGTGGCCCATAAGTTCGAATCCCCGATCGCGAATTATTCATTTCTAGTAGGGCGTGTTATGAGATGTTGCCTATTCTGCTGGCAGCATTTGTCTGTAATAGCTACGTGCACTACACCATATGAACGGAGTTTAGAGGTTATCCTGAACATACCCATTCGTGTGTATGACCATTTCTTGCTAATCTAACATGACTGGGAGGATTGTTTTTTGACATGTTTTGGTTTGATATATTCTGATATATTTTGGTTTGATATGATTGTTCTGATATGTTTTGGTTTGATATGATTGTTTTTTGACATGTTTTGGTTCGATATGATTGTTATGATATGTTTCGGTTTGATATAATTGTTTTGATATGTTTTGGTTTGATATGATTGTTTTGATATGTTTTGGTTTGATATGTTTTGGTTTGATATGAATGGTTTGACATGTTTTGGTTTGATATGATTGTTTTGATATGTTTTGGTTTGATATGATTGTTTTGATATGTTTTGGTTTGATATGATTGTTTTGATATGTTTTGGTTTGATATGA